TTGCTTTGTAACTCACAAGGAAGACCAGCGGATGAGAGCAGCAGATGACAAGTAGACTGTATGGCAGAAGTAATGTGTTCAAGACATGTTGGGCCACCACAGGACTTGTTAGGATGGGACATATCAACACCGATATGAATATATCACAAATCAGGTCGTTATTAAGCAATATTGCAACCATGCGGTAGACAGATGCCTCAGCAGAAGTGCTTCGAATTAAGATGTTAATTTCCCTGTTGCTGTCCTACTGCAATTCAGTTATGCAAATATATGAAGACATGGGAGAATAGTTGAGTTTTCATCCTCCAGTGGATGCTCATCTCTTAATACAAGCTAGGGGGCTTGTGTCATAATTTTGAATTATGAGATTCTTGGAAAAGGCTTTGAGCACACATGCCTTTCAAAAGAATCCAAGGAATGCCTGTAACAATTCTGAAGAAATTAATTTGACTTGCATGTGTTGACATGCCAGTGCTGGAAGGGGGGAAAGGGCAGCTAAATTTGAGCTAACCTTTGAAAGCTCTGGAAGGGCTTGTTTGGCTTCAACTAAGTGTCTTTTGCTTCATTCACTGAGCTGAATCCAGTGTCCTGTCTGTCACTTAGTATTGACTGACGTTATCTGACTGTGTCGGACAAGTGCCAAAGATACCATGCAATATAGAGGGCTACGTGTTGAAGTACTTACTTAAACAATACTCAAAGAAATGCAAGGCTTTTTGAAGGTGATTTGCTGCCTTAGGCTATATTTGTGCCCACCCTCATATACTGGAAACTGTAGTGGTTCAGTCAATACATTATTCCACATTGTGTCCCTGGTTTTAAGTAATCACTTCTGGACAAGTCAGGACCTCATTAAAGAGCAATTTCCTTAGCAGTGCCCTTTCTTCCTTTGGCAATGGGCAGTACAGAGTGCCACTCTGGAGAATGAGATGCCTGTGCAGGATTCCCTGATCACCATCCAGTCCTTGTGGTCTGAAGTACAAGGAACTTGAATGGGAATATAGGTGGTATGCACATTATCTTCTGTTTTCCATAATTTTCCATTGCCCTGCCTGCAGTGTGCAAATAGAACTGTCTAGAGCTCCGTGAGACCCACACATGGGTTCTGGCACGGGTGGTGGTACTGGATCATGCCCCGTTTAGCTAAACTACAAGCTAGCATGCCTAATATTGCACAGCTACAAAGAAAACTGGTAAGTGTTTGAACTGACTTCTAACACTGTAGTTAAATTCAAAATCACCCATTATAATCATGATACTTCTTTTTGTACTGCTCTTTATTTAATCTAAGCTATGAATAAGTATTGCTCTGGATGTCAAGGCTTGACTTTTTATCTTAAATCACTAACTTTTCTTCACTGATTTCAGTGCCCATCAAACAGAGCTCTCAAGTGATACATGAGCATGTTAGGGTAAGTGATTACATGCTAGTTCCATTTAGATTGTTTTCATTTAATCACTGGGACTACGGATTTCTTAGCCAAAAAAAGAAGAAGTATGAAGCGGTGCTCCAAACGCCACATACAGACCAAAAGAATTAATCAGAAAACGCAACCAATAAAATTTAATATGCTTGAGAAACAAAAGTTGAAAGGAGACAAACATGATTTACACATTTTTGTGGTACAGAGAAATCGTGATTGGTGTATATAAGGGAAAAAATAGTATCAAATGTGCAGCACTTCTTATATTGGATCAAAAACTGTTCACGAGAGGTGTGACATATCTAAATTAAACATCATTTTCTAACTAGGGCCAAGCCATTAGGATATTTAGAAAATACATCCAGGGATCTTGGGGGCAGAGAGGAAGGGAGCATAAGAGCATCTTTGGAAGGCTAAGGTTTGGAGTTAGTTCTAGTCCACTGTGTTTAGAGAAACAGAAAGAAGTGAAGTCTATTATACATCCTTCACATACTAATTTCAAGAATATTTACCCGAACAGATATTTACAAGGATTGGTTTTAAATAAAATTTATAAAATTAACATTTTGCTATATCTATGTCACATAGTTCTAAATTTATGGGAAATGTACCATATTCAGAGTAAAATATTCAGGAAATCATAAAAAGACATCAGAGCAGTGGCTAGATCCAATAAAACACCTCAGAAATAAGTGCAATGTATGGATACAGCTTGCTTTTCTATTACTGACCAATGAATTTTAATAAAAGGAGGCTACATCCATTCATAACCATCAAGGTTCTAACCTCCTATGGCTCATAGGAAAAGTTCTGTAGGCTTTAGCAAAAGTATATATAGTTTAGCATTGATCACACTGGGGTGGGGAATAAACAGCCCCATCTGTTAAGAATTCTCCCACCTTTCTTTTATGTAAAGGTGCTGGAACACTCTGCTATCTCTGTTGTAAAGTTTAAGCAGTGAGTTCAAGATATTTTCAAGTGGTTTGTGCTTCATTAATTCCAAGATTCAGATCTTCTGCATTTTCTGGCCAACAGCTTCAAAGCAACCAGAATAAGGTGACATTAGCTATATCTACTCTACAGACTTTACCTGTTGTAAAACTGCTATGGCTTCCCTGGAAAAAAAGGGAGATTTAGATTTGTGACGACACTGAGAATACTCAGCAGTCCTAACTATTGTCACAAGTATGGTACACTTATGGTTCCCCTGGTGCCTTGGGGTGGGTGGATGGGTGTTGCAATGTCTATTCAACAGTTTACATTTACAGTGCAAATGAGCCTTCATTATACAGCAGTAGGCTTTAAAATGGGGAAAGCCAATTTGGGGGAAAGCCAATAGGAAATGCTTGTTTGTTCTTGCAGTACTGTGAGTTGTGTTTTGGGATTTAATTTCAAGCATTTCTGTTAAATCGTTATTCTAAATACCACCATAAGTGTTCAGCAAATGGCTTTGTATTAATGCTTGGTGACAAGCTCACAGGAAAAGAATATTTTTTCTTTCATATTTTTTCAGTAAGCCCAGTACAATGATGCAACAAATATTACTGCTGAAAAGGGAAGTTTGAACCAGCTTCGCTTTTAGTGAATGGCATCTCCTTCGCATGCAGAAAGTTCCAGGTTTGATCCCTGGCATCTCCAGTGGGGAAAAGCGGGGAGATCAAGGAGCAGGTGATACAAACTACCTCTGCCTGAGACCCTGGAGAGCTGCCGCCAATCAGAGTAGACAATAATGGCTTTGATAGACTGGTTGTCTGACTTAGGAGAAGGCAGCCCAGTGGGATCTCTGATGGCTTAGGACTCAAAGAGCTTGTGACTGTTGATAAGATATGTGTTTGTTATTCCATCTGTTTCCAAACTGTGATTAGTGGCTGCCTCCAACCTTAACAAGGTGCATATATTTTACATCTCTCTAACTATGCAAACGGATGTAAAGTTTTATGTTAAATCAACTTACAGTTCTCAGTGTTTGCTGCTGCATTCTTGGGTATATTTTAATTGGTTTTAGATTACTCTATTTTTTCATAACTGAATGATAATTGACTATAAATGAGAACATTATGAATGAGGCATGTATGAGCAGCAGCAGCAGCCTTCTCCTTTCTTTCCCAGGCTCTTGGGTGACAGATGTAAATTAAGAGCCTGATTTATACAAAGGCTAAAAGTTTTCTACACAGAAATATGCTACTGAAAAGGGTGCATTTCAAGACATAGCCATTGTTTTTATGAAGAACCCAATTACTTCGAGTAATGGTAAATTTTTAATGAAGGGGAATAAATGATTTCTGGAAATGTTTTTCTCTACAATGGGGACGCCACTGCTTATTTTCCTGTCTGCTAAAATAGCAGCTCATTTTGCACACTTTGCATGGCTTCTGCTGCTTAAAAAAAATAAATTTTAAAAAAGCTTTATTTCCTGATTACATAGAAGGTTTTTGCATATTTTCCCACATTTTCTAGCTTTCAAATCTACTCCACCTCTTTTATGTTTAGAAATAGCGCATAAAAATGTTCTTACTAGGACTGAACGGGTGGTGGTGGATTCTAACCACATCCATTTTAATGTGAAAGCAGTGGTGGGAAACAGTGGGGCAAGGGAGAGGAGCTGACAGTATAGAATTCTGTCAGGTTTGGTTTCAAAAAGGCATCTCAGCTTCCCCCCCTTTTAGTTATTAAGCATTTCCACAAAAGAAACAATATTTGTTTCCCTCAGAGATCCCCCCCCATAGAACTTTGCATTCCAAAGACTGTTTTGTATAACAGTCTTCTCCCTCCAGCTGATTTCCCATCCTCACTAATATCAGTTTCACCTCTTACATGTTTCCTTGGATGTTAAAGATGATGTCCTCATTGGAGGTCAGTAGCTAAGAGAGGGCTCTGAGAGGATCACTGGTGCCCCTGTGAATTTTAAAATAATGTAGGTAGAAATTATATTATTGTTGTTGTTAATTCTTAGGTGAGTAGAAATTTTATCAGTCTGAATCTTTAAATTTTCTAACTGGAAAAAAATGGTATTTTTAACAATAACATTAATATTTTATTTTTTAAAAAAAGTTGTAAAAGACTTGACTGATACTGTATCTTCTGCCAAGTATATGAATTCCAAAATCCTCCAGTTTGCCTGCTTGTGTCCAACAGTCTAAGCTACAGGCGTCATTTTATGCCTCGTGGCACATGCTGCAGGAAATGGTTTGGGGGGGGCAACAGAATGAATACTGATAAGCGATAGAATTTAAGGATTCATCAGCGTTCCAACTCAAAAGTAGTTTTGTTCTACAGAATCACCAAGGAATGAGCTGTACGTAAACTCAGCTGGAGAAATTATTCCCTTTCCCAATATACTTTCCATAACTCAAGCTGTAAAGTCTATGACTTTCACGCAAATTCTCAGCATAACCGATTCCTAGTAGCAGAGCATACCTTATATTATGAATCTTGCAAGTAGGCCAATGTTGTACCATGAAGCTTATACAGTTTTCCCCTCAGTGTAAAAATATACAATGCTACTGCATATTTTTTTTGTGCAGTGTAAAGGTCCAATCAGTACTTTTTCCCTGAAAGTTCTGTTTTCTGACCCTTTCATACATCTCCAACCCAAACCACTGTATTACCCCTCTTGATACCTGAAACCTCACAGCGTAATGTGTTTTGCCGCCCATTAATAATAAAAAGTGAATCCTTGGCTGAAGTAATAAGATATTGCCCAAATAATCCACTGTCTTGGATAATTCTGTTGCAGGTGCTCCAGGGCCAGTCTTTGGATTTGATAGGGTCCTTTAAATTCTTCAATATGTCCATTTTCCCTGTTGACAACTCTACAAAAAGTACATCTGTTTGCAAATGTGAAGTAGCATATATATAATACTGATTGCCTTCAGTGAAAGAGGACTGAAATGTCAGATCGGATATGTGTATAGTGGTTTGTAAGTCATAAATCAACTTGATTTCCCCTTGGACTGTAATTTCCTGGACTCTGATCCTCCCACTGTGTTCATCAGTGCTGACCAAATAGCGTCCGTCAGGGGAGATATAGGGAGTACCTGATATGCCACTGTTGGGGCCAATAACAGAATCTGTAACACTGTCAATTATAAGCTGTGGAATAACTGGTATTGATGTATTCATTTTACACTGAATGAAGTAGTAGCCGCCCAAGTGTGTATAGGCCATGGCCTTCGGTAAGCAGCTGTAGTTTTTGAAGCTGATCGTCTTGATGCGAGCCACAGTTTCCAGATCTATTTTATGAACTTCAGGTTTTGCCTTGTTAAAGATGAAACCAAATCTGAAATAAAAAACAGAAAATTTTAAAAAAGAAAAGTGCTTGAAAATCTGACTGGTACTTCAAGGTATCTGGTGACATGGCTCAAAGAATACTACTACTATCTAGGGTTACTAGATGTTCTCTTTTTAGAGGTCATGTCCTCTTTTTTTGTGTTTGCCCTCTTTTGGGCTGTTTTTTAAAAACTGATGGAAATGTCCTCTTATTGGGTTGGAAGGTTAGGAATATTCGTAGTTAGCAGCATTTATCACAGCTTAAATAGTAGGGGTATTTATGAGATTTGTCATAGTGATCACTTGTTTGAAGTAGTCAGTTAGGAAGTATGTCCTCTGTTTAGCTTTTCAAAATATGGTAACCCTACTGTTCAAAGTAGTCTACAAATATGGTATTGGTCAGAACTGTTATTGCCATCACCAAGTACATGGCTGAGCTGTAAGTTTAACTGGGGATTCTGAGCTCATACCTTGAATCTTTACCATTATCAGAATAGCACTGCCTATTGTAAACACAAAGATAGTTAAGAAACAATGCATATTAAAACTGAAGGATTAAGCTGCTTATGGCATCATGTCTTTTAAGATGAAGATGACCACTATGCTGGTGCATAGCTTGCTTTTGGCACCAACACAGCAACATAAGCTGCAGTAACAGAAATCACCAGTACAGTCTGCTGTAGTGTTCTTGGTGCAAAGCATTAGTCCACAGTGTAAAGGTCCTGTAAAAGAAGCTAACATGCTTAGCTGTTTCTCAGTTTTGTTTGAGAGCCAATGTCATTTAATGGTTAGAGCACTGGATGAAGATTGGGAATTCTCAGTGAGGTTCAACTCCTCACGCAGCCATGAAACTGACTAGGTGACTTTGGACTAGCCACTCTCTCTTAGCCCAATCTATAGCACAGAGTGAGGACAAACGGTAGGAGGAAGAACTATCTATGCTACTATGAGCTTCTCTCCAGGTAGCAGAATAAAACTGTAATAGCTTAATGAGTGTTATATTTCACTAGTATAAAAACCATATTTTAGACCTACCTCCCCACCTCCTTTGGTCAACAGCATTACTGATATGTAGTAGGTGATGCGAAAGGCCTCTGCCTGAGACCCTAGAGAGCTGCTGCCAGTCTGAGTAGACAATACTGACTTTGATGGACCAAAGATCTGCTTCATTATAAGGAAGCTTCATATATGTCTTTGGCCATGATAACTTACTTCTGAAGAGCAAGCCAATCACATAAACACTTCAGGGATTTTAGCTTTTTATTTTATTTAGATTTTATTTAGATGCAGGATCCATTAAGAAGTTGATTTGAAAAAAATATTGATAGAATGAATGATAATGGGAAGTAATAAAATGATTCCTGATAGCTCTTTTGAATTAAGACATTTGAAGAACTCTTTAAACAAACACCTTCCTTTTACAGCATTTCTCTGAAGATTTTTACTAGAAACTTTAATTAGATAAAGTGGGGCAGTATGAGCATGGCATACCTGCTGTTGTCAAGGAAATACTCAGTTCATGTGTTCTCTGAAATCTTAGTTGTTGTTTTTTAATCCACAATCCAATGGGCAGTTATCTTTCTTACTGAATCAGTCAATCCTGAGCAGAGTTACATCCTTCTAAGCCCACTGATTTCAATGGCCTTAGAAAGATGTGACTCTAGTTAGCACTGTGCTGTAGTACATATCCAGAATTCTTTTGTTTTATTTATTTATTTAAACAGAAGTGCCTAATAGTGTAATCCAATTGAAATTGCTCATTAAATGAGTTTAGAAGGATGTAAGTCTACATAGGCTTGGACTGTAAATGTTTCAATGCTTGGAAGCATCTAGTCCACAATAATACCTAGTTAGTACTAACTCTTTGGCTCAAACTAGGTATTACTGTGGACTAGATGCTTCAAAATATCAAAGCAATTGTTCATATTGTTTGTGACTGGTCAGGACATTTGCAGTTTATCCCAGGAAGAAGCAGATGAGCTGCCAGTGAGATTTTGAAAGAACCTAGGGCAGGGGTGTCAAACATGCAGCCCGGGGGCCAGATCAGGCCCTCAGAGGGCTGCAATCCAGCCCTCAAGGCCCTGGCTGTTTCCTGCTTCCTTTTCCAGTTCTGCTGCTGCAATAACTCAGAGCAAGAGGTGTCAGTTATCAGAGACTGTTAAATAGACAAAATATTGCAAGAGTGCTAGTGTTTTAAGCACGTTTTATTTAAAGTTTCAAAGATCTTTCACTGTGTTTGTGTTCTTTATAAAGTTTATATCTCTGCTACCTGGCATTACATTTTATGACACACATGGCCCGGCCCAACAAGGTCTCATTTATGTCAGATCCGGCTGTTATAACAAATGAGTTTGACACCCCTGACCTAGGGTTTCTGCTTGGCTGAAATATCTGAGAAACTTTGGGGTAAGCAAAAAAGCTATGATAAGCCCAGCAGTGGAAGTGATGATGCCAATAGATGAAGCCACTACAAACTTTAAGTTCTTGCCTAGGAGCTGTTGTGACTGCTGCTACCAAACATACTTGTGTGGGGGATTATGTGCTGTCTGGAATGCAGGTAAGGTTGAGATTTTCTGGGGCTCAGCAGGAGATCATCTACCTAGTGCTCACTTGAGAATGTGAAGGTTAGTAGTATTATGGTTGTGAACTTTTGTTGGCTCTCTTCTTGTAAAGTGAAGGAAGAGGCATGCATAAAGTTTGTCATTGTCTAAACCAGAAATAGCTTTCCATCTCATTATACTGATACCATATGTGTTTGGGTTTCCATAAACGGAGGCCTAACAGTGGTGGAATTCTAATTAGGGTGTTTCTAGTTAGATAATGTACTCTTTGAAATTGTTATCTCATTGGAACATGAAGAAAAAACAGAGTGGCTACACAGCCAGAATGTTCATTGATAATCATGCTTGTCATAATGTTTCATTGGTTCCTTGTGTGTCTCCTGTCCACTTGATTTTTAGGTCTTGCATACCTATGGTTTATATTTATTAGCTTGGTGAGCCCATGATCGATTAGTGGAGCTTCTAGTAACTGCTTGAAAGGTAAAGCAAGTAAAATTCATGATTAATAATAATATGAATGGAAGTTTCTTACCTGATGTGGTTAATGATGAGATTTGTAGTTGGGATAAAGTAATCATCCATTCCGTCCAAATGGGTACGAATGATATGCAGATTCTCTCCTGTACTTGCCTCTGGTATTACCTATAACAAACAACCAAGATGCTGGGCATGGACAGAGCAATGAATGAACCATTGAACTATAAACACCAGGCTACTTATATATAAATTATACCAACATGATTTTTTTTGCCATGTATCTTGCAGGATTCAGTGAATCAAAATGATGGTTGGACTGATGCCTGGAATAAAGGGATGCTAATGAAATGGCATTTTTGTGAGTGTGACATTTGCAAGGCAAGAGAATAACTCTCCATCTGCTTTCAAGCTGTTTATATCAAAAGACAAAGCAATCATGTGGGTGCTGAAATAGTGTCCTAACTGTAACCCTGCAATAATTTTCCCGCAGTGCCTACAATAAACATTGTTTTCATGTTCATATTTATTAATCTCACTTAAATGCACCGTGCTAATTCATTGGGTTGAATGACCGACAGCAAAGTCACAGCAGTTAATTATCTCTTCCAAAGGGTATCTTCTGTGCCCGTGGTGGAACACTATAAACAAAAAATAGTAGAATGGATCTTTTATATTTATATGCTATTCTGGAGGAACGTGAAGTCTTGTGGAAAACTCCTGTTGTCTTTCATTTAACTCCAGCATAACGTGAAGGCAAAACTTTGTTGTTAAATGCAATATTGACATTATTTATTTGAAGGGCTGTTTGTGTATTAAGATGGCCAAGGTCAGTACATTAGGAGTGCTTATTAATGCAGCATGTTCACAAGCTGGCTTTAGAATTTATAGCTAACTAATTCATTATAAAAAGTGCTAAAGCCATAAAAGATGTGCTTCAATATTTTGGTCAATCCATTAAGAGGTTTCCTAATTAAACTACTCAAGGAACTTGCCAATTCTTGAGAGTTTGGTCTATCCGCCCCCCCCCCTCGTGCTACTATAAGCAAAACACATACAGTGCTTTTTATTTATGAGATTTCTTCATCTACACATGTAGAAACAACTTGCAAAGTGGTTCAAAGTGCCTTCATGGTACCTCTCAGCAAAGGAAGTTATGAGTTTGTTCTCTGCCATATTTCACCACCATCTCTGCAGATGGTCAGAAGATGTCGCAGCAGGGATCAGGTGATATAAGGGACCAATACAATTCTACCTGATTTGAAAAATCTTCTGAATTTATACCCGAGTGACAAGTTTCTCAGATTCAGGAGCTGTGTCAGACCAAGCTGTTCTCATACTATCCATTTACTTTCTAACCAGTTTAATGGCAAGTCTGTTTTCTAGTCCAACAGTTTCCCAAGTAACCTGACATAATTTACATGCACATGAATGAAATAATCCAGGCAAATCATTTTGCTTTGTATGATAAAAATGCTAGAGATAAATTTTTCAGGATCAGGTGTGTGTAATTAAACTACTCAAGGAACTTGCCAATTCTTGAGAGTTTGGTCTATCCGCCCCCCCCCCTCGTGCTACTATAAGCAAAACACATACAGTGCTTTTTATTTATGAGATTTCTTCATCTACACATGTACAAACATCTTGCAAAGTGGTTCAAAGTACCTTCATGGTGATAAAGGAGCATCTATACCTTTAAACAAGGGATACCCTTGTTAGCTGTAACCAGACAACCACAACAGTATTGCCAGGCTTCCTGCTTTGGTTTCTGTCAGGAAAAGGTGGGGGGAAGGGACAGGAACTAATTGATGCCCCAAGACCCTGAGCCCAGGGAACCCCCTTTTTTCTGTATAATGTGAATCCCCTTTTTGTAGATGTGTACAGCTGAATGTGGGCCTAGAAATGATAGAAGGAGCCTGTATCAAACTAATAGCAAAAGGCAGTACGTCATGTCAAGGAGGTAAGGATTAGGGCAGCTCCTCTATCAGTTGTGCATAAACCCACTGTAGGAGGGATTCCATTGAGGGCTACTTCCTCCAAGGACATCAGAGACTCCTACCAGTCAATTTGATTCTAACCATCAACCCAGATTTCCAGAACAATATGCTACAGGCTGATCTTAGAAATTTCTTTCTGATCTAAATAACTGGACAGGAAGATTCTAGTTCTTCCCCAATTATGACAAGTATCCAGCCATAGATATGTACATATTTAACTTCTAGATCTCCTCAAGGTAACATTTTTTACACTCTCAATGCAAAAGGAGAAAATTCCCCTCCATCATAGAGACAAAGGATTTCTATTCAGGCTTGTTCATTCTCAAAAGATTGGATTTTTATTATCCCTTGTTCCCGTGCCAACACCCCTTCCCCGCTCATCTCAGGCCAAAAAGGATAAAAAGTTACCCCTCAGCCCCAGTTTTTGTAGCCCTTTTTTGAATCATTCTATAGCCCAGAGGCACTGCCTTTACCCTAGGGTAGCGCCAACAACAGGGGCACCCCATTTTCTAACCTGAGCCAGAGACCCACAAACCCAGACCAATGAAGACACTCCTGGTTCTAAAACACAGAGCAAGCCATAACTCTGGAAAAAGGCTCTCCATTTTCAGGTGGAAAGGCATCCCTTAGAACGAACCTCCAGTCTTTTCCCCACACCCAGTAAAAGTATGCATATGAAACAATAGGTTCCGCCAGGTAGGTATATACATTTCTAAAGGCTATTCAGTTGCCACCTGGCACATAGCCCTTCTATCTCCAGAACTTCACCTAGCCCCTTTGTCTCCAGATCTGCCTTTTTCTGCTCCATCTCTCAGGATATCAAGATAAATCAACCATACACTCAAATGTTTAGCAATCCTTCCTGAGGCTAATCAGGGACTCATCTCCCACCTTTTGTCTATACTTGGGAACCTTTTCAAACTGCCTTGACTGGACCATTAGTGGTCAAAACCCCATTCAACTAGCCACCCAGCACCTGGCTTAATCTCATCAAGGCCATTGTTAAGCCTGACTCTGCCTTTCTGGAACTTAATTGGTTGCATCTAGGTCTGGCTCCTCCTGATGCTGCACCCCCTGGGACCCAGGATTGGCCCAGATAATATTTCGTCTTCACCTGAGACAAGCCCCTCAAGACCTCCTATTGTCAGCATTGTTTTCCAAAGTCTATATTCATCCACGCATACACACACTCTGTCTTTTTTTCTGCACCCCTCATAGCGCATAACACTGGCCATTGGCGCTATTCTCTTCAAGGACTTCTGCATGTCTGGACAGGTAATATTACTCAGTAACTGACCCCTCTATTTGCTATCAATCACTTCTGCTTTCTTAGTTCTATATTGTTTGCTCTCTTTGAATGCTTAGTGTACTTGTAATTAGGGAAAAACTTCAATAAAACCAATTTAATTTACTCTTCAAATCCGAAGTCTTCTTACAGTGCCAGACCTTAGTATACAATTGGTGTGTGGTCCCTGTACCCCTCTGGCCTGGCCTGCTGCCTAACTAATGTCACGCAAACAACAAAGCAGACCATTGGCAGTAACAATTCTGTACCCCAGCCTCATGGTTGGCTCCTTGTCACCCTCTGATCTTGCATCTCTGCTCCACGGACCTCGCACTGTGCTTCCTTCTGCCTGGTCAGTTTCACCTCCTGACACAGCTTCTTCAATGCAGAGGACAACCCCCCAACACACACTTCTCCCTCTTCTTGTCAGACAGGCACTTATGTTATTTTAAAAAATAGGTTTATTTCCCCTGTAGATAGTCATTCTAGGGACCAGATTTTGGTGTATTATTTACTGTATTGCGTTTCCATTCTGCACTTTATTGCTCAGATTAGTTTAGCCTCTCTTTCTGTTTCTAAAATTTTAAAAAATACACGTTTAAGTCTTTTTACCCTCATTTTTATGAGTATTGATCTGAATCTAGATCTTGGTATACATAGGCTAATGATTCCAAGCAAATAGGTGCCTAAAATACATGTGTTTGTTCCATGCAAGCTGGGGAACACCTTTGCATGTTACAGCCCAACAAATGTATACTGATTTGGCTTTTTTCACTACTTGTAACTACCACCGGAAGCCACTGGGCAACTTGTTACCATGCAATTGGCATGAATCACCCAGGACAGTCTTCTTACTACTGTTCAGTAGCAGCACCTCTTGAAAGGCAGTATAGTGTTGTTGTTGTTCAGTTGCACAGTCAAGTCCAACTCTTCGCGACCCCATGGACCAAATCATGCCAGGCCCTCCTGTCTTCCACTGTCCTCTGAAGTTCTGCCATCCTCTGGAGTTTGCTTAATTTCATGCTCGTTGCATCAATAACACTGTCTAACCATCTCATCCTTTGCTGTCCCCTTCTTCTTTTACCTTCAATCTTTCCAAGCATCAGGGTCTTCTCCAGTGAGTGCTTCCTTCTTATTTGGCGGCCAAAGTATTTGAGCTTCATCTTCAATATCTGGCCTTCCAGGGAACAGTTAGGGTTGATTTCTGTTAGGATTGACTGATTCGATCTCCTTGCAGTCCAAGCAACTCTCAAGAGTCTTCTCCAGCACCATAATTTGAAAGCATCTATTCTTCAGTGCTCAGCCTTCCTTATGATCCAACTCTCTCAGCCATACATTACTACTGGGAATTCCATTGCTTTGACCATACAGATTTTTGTTGGCAGGGTATCATAGAATCATAGAATGTTAGAGTTGGAAGGGACCTTGCAGGAGCATAGCCGAAAGATAGCCCTACAACATACCCAAAAGATGGTCGTCCAGCCTCCGCTCGAAAACGCCCAGCGAAGGAGAATCCACCACCTCCTGAGGTAGACCGTTCCACTGCTCAACCACTCTTACAGTTAGGAAGTTTCTCCTGATATTTAGCCGGTAACGACTCCCTTGTAATTTCCACCCATTAGATCTAGTCTTGCAATCCGGAGCAAGAGAGACTAGATCTGCTCCATCTTCTACATGACAGCCCTTCAAATACTTGAAGACTGTAATCATGTCCCCTCTAAGCCTTCTCTTTCCCAGGCTAAACATACCAAACTTTTTCAGCCTTTCCTCATATGACTTGGATTCAAACCCTCTCACCATCCTGGTTGCCCTCTTCTGGACACGCTCGAGCTTGTCAACATCCTTCCTAAAATGTGGTGCCCAAAACTGGACACAGTACTCCAGGT